CCGGGCTCCTGCTCTGCACTGCCTGCACTTTGTTTTTTCCCTTTTTTTAAATTCTTTTTCTCCTTCTTCCCCTTTTCTTTTTTTCTTTCTTTTTTTTTTTTTTTTCAGTGAACAACTTTATTTCCCACTTTGACACTCACCAGAGCCACCTGGGAGCCTGCCTGCCAGAAGGAGAAATGGCACAAGAGGAAATACATCTTCACAACCCTGAGAACAGAGAGCTTTGGAATCCGCGTCCGTAAACACCACCGCTGTGCACTGAGCAAACCCAGAGCAGGTTGTGCTCTGGAGAGTGTAACCCCACCTCCACTGCTGCTTTTCTGAATTAAAACACTGTGAGGGAAGCAGGTCCTGCTTGTCCTTCAATGACTGCGTGCTGCAGGCTGGGGGATGCTGCTGGCTGTGAGCACACGGACCTGAGAGCTGGGAGGGACCGCTGCCCTGCAGCCATCCTTCTCTGAGACGTTTGGGAACCACATACCATCTAATTTAGGTTAGATATTTGGAGGGTGGTGAGGCACTGGAACAGGTTGCCCAAGGAGGTTGTGGATGCCCTGCAGGCATTCAAGGCCAGGCTGGATGTGGTTCTGGGCAGCCTGGTCTGCTGGTTGCTGACTCTGCACATAGCAGGGGGTTGGAACTGGACGAGCATTGTGGTCCTTTTCAATCCATGCCATTCTATGATGCTATGATTCTATGATACAGGTGCACAGAGGTGGCTCTGACCTGGGCATGGGGACAGCAGTCAGACAGGGAGCAAGCCCCAAGGCCAGGGGATGGGCTGCGATATGCAATGACATGCAATGGTGACATGTGGTGACATAAGATGACATGCAGAGGCAGCAGCAGCATGGCCTCTCCTCCCTCGCCATGCAAGGGCTACCTGCAGCATGGTGAGTTCCTGCACACCCAAATTCCATTCCTGCATCTCTGACCCCATCAGCCGGGGCTGCATGGAGCTGCTGCCTACACTGTCCTGCTGCCTGGCCTTTCTGATGCTGCTTCTGCCCGTGGCAGCCTGCACACACAGCACTTCCACCACGATGCCTTGCCATGCTTCCTTCCCACAGCCCAGGAGACATAAAAAGAAATCTATAGAAACACTGCTATTTTATTTTACAGTGGTCAAAGCCTGATCTTGATTAAAGACCCTCCCCAGCATTGCTAGAGCAAATAGGTGGGAAGCCAGCGGGGAGCTACACTGGTACAGAACATGATTTACTCTGCCACCATCACCACACAGCAGCATTTCCCTGCACCCAAAGCCAACACTGCATTTGTCATGGCAGCACTGCAGGCAGAGACCCCAACATCACCTGAGGAAGCCCCCCAGGGCCGCAGCTCCCCAGCCCCACTACGGCCATCCCCATACTTCAACACCAGCCCTGTCTGTACTCCTTCCCTCCCCAAAGTCCTGTTCTACCTCAAGGATTAAGCTTTCATCCTTCATTATGAGTTTCTCCCCCCAGGCAACATTTTCCACGAAGAAAAAGGAATTTCTGGGATTTTGCTTTTAAGAGATTATGTTACTAAGCGAGTGTGTGCTTGTGCCCCAGCGAGGAGAGTTCCTCATAGCCCCAGGTGATTCGTCACAACCCGTGTCAGCAGGGCAAGTGCTGCAGCTCTGGTTAGATGGTGATTTGTGGAGAAGCACCCATCACCATCCCCATGTTCCTGGGAGCCCAGTGCTGCTGCACCCACTGCAGGGCAGCCCTAGCTGCAGCACTGTGCTCACAGGCTTGCAGCAGAAGTTTGCACCAGAGGTTTTGTACCAGAAGCTTGCACTGGAGGCTTGCACCAGAGGTTTGCCATGCATGCACCTGGCTGCTCAGTACACATTGAGTGAAATCGTGCTTTCCTTGGCAACACCTCTTGTCATTAAGCCTATTTCTGGCCGCTCAATTAAGACCAACAAATTAACATAAGGAAAACACGACGGCTAATGTTAACCTTGCAAAAGAATCCCAACCTGTACTTACAACAAGAAGGCATAAACACAGACTGGAAAGCCACACGTTCAGCTCCAGCACTCAGAGCAGCCAGCAGCACAGGGCCAGGTGCAGCTCAGAACCCCCCACAAAGAAGCCCCCAGCCCCCTCCCAGCCCACAGCCTGCACCCCACCCAGCACTGCAGAGCTGTGAGTCAGCGCTGAGTCAGCCCTGTGCCTTCAGCTGCACTCACTGCACGTGTGCTGGGGGACGACGCAGAGCTGCGTTCCTGGAGAGGCCGGCAGCTTTCCCATTGCTTTGACTGCGGTCATTATGCGTAATAATTAAGCGGTGGTAATTGAGGATTGCTTACTGAGGATGCTTGAGCATGTCCTGCTGCCAGAGCAGCTGGCCGTAGCCCTGTGTTGTGGAATTAAACAATCACCAGATTCTCCGCTGCTTTTTGATAAATTGTTGTTGATTCCCCTTTCGAAGTCAAGAAACAAAACCAGCAGACCTCTCCATCCCAGGAGAAGCTCTGTTTGAACACACGGGCAATTGGCTTTTGTTCTGCACAAAGTGGCCACAGCCCTGAGGAGCTCCAGCACACAGAGAGCATCTGAGCAGGGCTCAGGACCCCAGGGCAGCCCGGCACACTGAGCACAGCCCCCCACCCCATGTATCACACACGGACACACACCACCACAGGTATCAAAGGGCCTCAATCTGATTAAAGCTTTTCTACCCCCTACCAATGGTCAATTCCATAAAGTAGCTCACCCAGGAGACTGAACTCATTTCATCCCTGAAGTCTAATTAAAGCCATTAGTGTATTTCTTGTCTTCCCGATAAGATCAAAGCATTCCAAGAGCCGGTCATTATCTTATTTTCAAGACAATTATACATCGTGGAGCACGGATTGATCCTGCCTCCAGCTGGATGCATTTATCTCTGTCTATCATCGTGTAATCTGTACCATCAGACACGGTGTGAGCGCAGCCCATCAGCTGACAGTGCTCTATGCTCACCCCGCTGCATTCCGCTTCACCCTCGGCTGCAATGACCAGCAGAGCTGCACGGGGTGCCCACATCCGTGTCCCCAACCCCACAGCCATCAGCACAGCCCCTCCCAGCAGCCACGCAGGGCTGCGCTCTGCACACCCGACAGCGTTCCTTCCCATCAACCGCAGCCCCCGATGCTTTGCACGGACGCTGGATGCACGGCAGCCAACTGCATTTGTGCTGCAGCGGTGATGCAACGCGCAGCCCCCTCCTCATTCACAGAGCAGAGCTGCTGTTCCCCGGCACTGCCAGGCTCTGCCCTGCCCCGACCCGGCCATGGGGCGCAGCCGCCTGTGCGGTGCCTTCCGCTCACATAAACACATCTCCGGCAGCTCATGGCCCGCGAGAGCGGAGCTGTGAATTTTCATCTCTCAGCTAATCAACTCGCCCTCTAGTCCAAACTTGTCAGGAGTTTTATCCCTGCCCTGCCGGCCCTCCTCCCGGCCCACGGGTGACAGGAGACGTTCCCATCCCTCCCAGACACATCCAGCTGCTACAAAAACAAACAGCCTCCGCGGGCGATGCCTGCTGGCAGACAGCGCTGACCCCAACCCGCTGCCCCCGGCCCCATAACGCAGCACCACGCGGCGCAGCGCCGGCACAGCGTGAACGGACGGCACGGCGGCGTTGCCCCGAGCGGGCATTTATTAATGGCAGCTTCTTGCCGTCCTCCTGTGACAAAACATTAATCAAGCGCTGCCCTGGGAGGCTCCTGCAGATGAGAGGCAGCTGTAGTCACGGACGGCTCCCGGAAGCCCCGTCCGTTTTAGGAGCAGGATGAGACCGTCAGCCCTGCTTCGTGCTGCGTTACCTCCTGCCAGCACCGCCGTACCTGTGGCCCTGCAGGTGCACAGAGAGAGCAACACAGAGCAGCGCTAAACGCACAGCACTGCAGGGAGCTCCGAGGAGGGGCTGCAGCACACAGCCGTCCCCCGGGGCGATCGGCAGCAACGGGGCGAGCAGCTCTCACCCGCCCGGCATCTTTGCTGCAGCTAAACCGATCGCAGGAAGACTTTTCACAGCAGCTCTCGGCGCCCAAAGCGGGTCCGGGTTGTGCAAACAGCGCACGGGTACCGGGCTGGGTCACAGCGAGGCGATGCGGGGCGGCAGAACCGCGTCCTCAGCGGCACCGCAACGGGACGCGCGCTGCCATCCCCGGGCACACAGCGCCCCCTGGCGGCCGGCGGCGGTTCCGCTCGTACGGCACGTCGCCCCGCGCCTGCAGGGAGCGCTGCGGGAGCTGCGTTAAGCTCCGATCCGCAGCCGCTGAGGATCATTCATTGGCACCCAGCCTTCTCACCCGGTTGGGGCCGCTGCTGCGCTCCTCATCCCGGCCTGGGCCGGTATCACCGCGTTTTGCTCATCGCCGCCGCCGGAGCAGAGCCGTCCCGCAGCATTGCCCCCAGCGGCACGTACAAAAGCCATGACATAAAAGCAGCTGATTCCAGGTGAAACAGGGCCATCCGTGCACCGAACGAAGACGCGTTCTTCTTTTCTCCAAAGCAGAACCCGGCAGCAGCCCACAGCCCGCAGCCCTCGCTCCAAAGCGAAGCCCGCACTCCCAGCGCAGCCCGGGGCGCAGGCAGACACGGGAACGGGCGCTGCGCTTTGACTGCCTGCTGACATAGAGAAACTGTGAGTCACAGCTCTGCCCGCCGCCCTCGTCGGGAAAACAGAGCCGCTCTGTGCCGGGCTTTGCACGGCTGCGCCCCTGGGTTCACCCCGGGCGGTGAATGGGCGCAGTGTGTGCGGGGATGGTGACTCAGTGCCTCCCGCACACACCGCGGCACCGCCCGAAAACACGACGGGCGTCGTTGTTTATAGGAAGGTTCGTCGCATTCCAGCAGCTCCAGGCTCGCGTTCCGCCTCTCGCAGCACCGGAGCGCTCGGAGATGAACGACGAACCCGCACAGCAGCACCAAAAACCGCATCCTTCCCACGCCCCGCAGCGGGGGGAGCAACGCCGGACCCCGCACGGCTCACAGCTCCAAAGGGCAGCTCGAGCAATGTTAAAAATAAAATCCTTTATTGATCATACGAATGTTTAACACGTTTAATGCCGTCAGCTATAAAAATGATTAAAGACTTCAGCTCGGTACGTTTGGCTTTACAAATGTACAAGTGTTAATGGATTAATACAAGAGTACACGTCTTTGCACTTCATTATACTCCATTCTCCAGTGATAACTCTTGCTTGTAACAGGTGTGAGTTCTAGGAGTGATATTTAGCTGCTTTCACACAGAGTCTACGTGGACATTCTACCTTGAAGCTCCTCATTGAGTTAAATGGAGCCACTGCCATCTTTGTGCTTAATTCCCACCTGAAAGATCTGCTGCTAGCAAAAATACATTCTTCTGCATACCCCTTCCCATAGTATATTTTAGAAGAAACAGTACTCAGTGCATTTCCTAATAAACTTCATCATAGCCTCTCTCTAGAGCTATAAGGAGGGGGGATAATACAATGTACATCAATGTAAAAGCAAAGGAACGTGTTAAAGCAGTGTGTACAAAGCCTTGCTTTTGAATCAAAAGCCACGCGTGGGCCTGAATCCATCTGCCCATCCATCTCTAGGATTACACTCACCGAGGGGAAAAAACAAATCTGCTATGAGTGTTTAAAAAGAGGAGTAAATGTGCTTCCCAAAGGGCTGCTGCTGCTCCCAGGGGGCAGGAATTACAGCACAGAACTTGAAGGCTACTGATGGGTGGGTATGGATCTGGATGTCTGTGCAGGGAGGGCAGCAGGGGCACTGCGGGCAGCAGCCACTTGAAAGCAGCACACAGCTCTGATGTTCCTACAAAGGGAGACCCGAAGCTCAGGGAACTCATTAAGGTACAGCAGTGCATCCTCCCAGCTGCCGCCGGGCTTTTCTCCTATGGCAAAGTGGGATGTGTTTTGTTTAATTAAATATCTCACGAGGCTGAAGGAGAAAGCAGCTCTGGCTGCAGGCAACCTGATGCTTCTGAGTGCAGGATCACAACCAACACCTGAGAAATGAACTCAGGGTTTTGCTCTCTGCCTCCCACAGGCACTGCTGGCTGCATGGAGCCAAGCACTGCATGCAGAATGAGGGCTGCATATCCTGCACAGAAGCAGCTGCTCTGCCCAATTTGGGTCCACATTGATTTTCTTGCCTCAAACTTCATCCATGCCCCTTGCTCTAAATGGTTTTTCATCTCAGAGAATTCCTATGCTCTCTTTTTATTCAGGAAAGGCTCAAGAATAGACTTTGATAACGCATTGTGTACTTAATGTGTGTGTGTGACACTACCTACACATAGGACAGCAATTATTTGGTTCCCTATTTGCAGCAGCCAATGAAAGCCAAAAAAACCCACAGCTAACTCCAGGTCAGCTGGATGCCATGGGTGCAAATGATGAACAAAATTATTGCTTTTGTGTAGAGCAGAAGATCCCACGTTGCAAAAAAAAACCCACCTGTATCATATGGACTAGTGTTTTGGTTCTCTTGTTTTCAAGTAATAGCAAGACCTTGATAAAGTAATAGCAAGATCCTTTTCTCAGAAGTTCTACACACAACAGTAGAATGCTTAAAGAAAGTGGAAATTAAAAAGGGACACACCAGAATCTGGAGTCCAGCCATCAAAGCACGTGGGATGTGCTACAGGAAAGCAAATCAACTGCTTGGACAGCGAGTCATAGAATGGCTCAGAGGTTGGAGGGGACCTTAAAGACCACCTGGTGCCAACCCCTACCCTGGGTGCCCCCCCAGCACATAAATAGGGCAGCCAACCCGACCTCCAGGGATGGGGGCACCCACAGTTCTGTGTTCCAGCACCTCACTGCCCTCACATCCAGAAAGGAAAGGTTGTATTGCTCAGTTCTACCCCAGGAAACTCATATTGCTTCCCAAAACCCATCCTGAGGGATGCAGTGTGGCTGTGGCTGCCGTAGCAGCTTGGTGCTCACCTTACAGAATCCCACAAGACATTTGCTCACTTAACTGCAGCAAATGGAAAGAATCAAAAACAGTGTCGTCCTAAACATTCACGACTCACAGAAGGATCTGATCCTGCAGCTAGATGGTCCCCATCCTCACCTTTTCCAAAGGATCACATTCATATTGGAATGCAGGCTTAAGTTCAGGCACTTTTTTTTTTTTTTTTATATATATATAAAATGTTCATCTGGAGTAAAAAGTCTGCAGAAGTTATTTCTGCTTAGTTTCTAAGTAGCGTTTCAGTCCCACTTTAGCTTGATAGGTAAGATCCAGTGCAGGGTTCTTGTTATTGATTTGACTGTTGCCATGAGACATTTTGAGGCTGCTGTATATAGCTGTAGTTAAGGTTTCTTCATAAACAAAAATATTTTCCTACCTATTAAAAAAGAAAAAAACAAAATATACTAAATGCTTTATACAGACAGATTCTGCTACTATGGAAATAAATAACACGGAGTGGAAAAAAACAGTGCCTCAGCTCCAGCTAAGCCACGGAATGTCACATTCACATTTGCTGGAGACTAGCTGCTGGTTGGCAGGAGGATCTCAATGTCTTTGCCATTGGACACCACGGCATTATTGGAGCAACTGCTTGCCACGTCCATGGGGGCACCCAGGGAGGATGACTGAGAAGAGGCTTTGGTGAGCGGAGCTGGAGCAGCAGGAGACTGAGCCAGGCCAGGTTTCTTTGGAGGAATGGGTGGAGGGTTCCCTCTTTCCACTCGAGGGATGGTTGGTGACTTAATCCCAGGAGACAACGGGCTGAGCGGGCTGGAAACCTTGCCAGGGCTCGGAGAATGACCAGATTCACTTTTAGGGCTCACAGCATTTGCCAGATTTCGATAGTCTGTGCCAAAAGGTGAGCTGTTAGGGGAGACGGGCTTAATCGGACCCTGCTGGCTGGTAAATCTGGACAGGACCTGAGTGACCGTGTTGCGTGCTAACTGCTTGGCAGCAGAGTTATCTGCTAGAGTAGGAGACAGATCCCTCGCTGGTGGGCTCTGCAGCCCGCTGCACTGATGGTCCTGTTCAGCTTGAGACTGAAACTTGTGCCGAGCTGCGTGGAAACGCTGATTGATCCCCACCTGGTAGGAGGATTGGTAACCAGGGCTGCCTGCAGGAGCTCCCACCAAGCGTTTGCTCAGAACGGGTGAGGAGCAGGGAGAAGGTGTGAGGGAGGAGGCAGCCGTGCTGCTGGGAGACAGGGATGCCCCGCTGGAAGGGAGCTGGGACAGCAGGTGCACTGGTGACTCTGTTCTTATGGGAGAACTTCCATTCTCAACTGTGTTTTCTGGTGCTGCATGGGTGAGTTTCTCCTTCTGCACTTGGCTCTCCGCAGCATTTGTCTGCAGCTGCTCACCACCTGCTTGCGTGTCTGTATCACAGTGACCATTGGATTTCGCATAGGAATGAGTAGGTGTAGGAGGGCTGGGAAATGCAGTGTGCACAGCTTTGCTCGCACCAGCAGGATTTGCTCGGTCTGCTTGTGGAAACTCTGTCTGGCATGACACAGACTTGATGGCAGGGCTGTCAGTAGCAATGCCTCTGGACGTCACAGAGAGACTTGGCTGCGAAGGCTCAGTAGGACCGTGCTCCTGGCAAGCAGCCTCCAGCTCTTTCAGGGCTTTCTTCAAAGATTCCACTTCTTCTTTCAGTGCTTTTGTACGGTTCTCCTCTCTGTTCAGCTTGGCTTTCAGCTGTTCTCTTTCAATGTCGAACTCCGAGAGTTGCTTTTCTACTTGTGCTTCCATCTGTAAGCCCCGCTTCCTCTTGGATGCCAGCTCCTCCTCCAGCTTACTCACCTTACTCTTCTCTTTTTCCAATTTCAAGCTCAGTTCTGCCGTCTTCTGACTCTCTTCTGCTGCTTTGGCAGTGGCTTTCTTGCACTCTACGACAAGCATGGAGGACAGCTGCTTGTGGCGTGCCCTCTCCTCCTCCAGCTGACTCGAGAGCTTCTTCTGTTCTTTCTCAAACTTCTTCACCTGGGATTTTTCAAACTCCAGCTGGAAGAGAGAAGCAAAAAGAGGCCGTAAGGGAAACACAACACCTCCTGAAAGTAAACAAAGCATAACAACCCAAAAGCAAAAGGGGTTACTATGCGTGTTGGAAAAAGATGGCCGTGCCTAAGATGAATAAAGCAGTTCTGCAAGGGTGTCTGCAGGACAGCCTTGTACAACAAGGAGCTCTGTTCACGTGTATTAAGGATTATTGTTACTGGTAGTTACACTGCATATGGAATTCAGCTGGCAGTGAGCTGTACACAGCTGCCACGCACTGATGTGAGCAGGTGATCTGAAGCAAATCTTCCTTCCACCCCATTTACTGCTTTGTCAGTTTGCCTTTTAAAAGCATTTAAAGTGCTGATGTGTTATGTGTGTTTATTAAAGCCTGCAGTGCTTCAGTAACAGAAAATAGCAGCTTAAATATTTATTATAATCTCTGAACAATCCCCCTAGGAGACCTTTCATGACTTATTCTCATTTTTGAGTACTAGAAAGCATCATCACTTGTAAGCAGAGCTCTGCTCTTGAGAACCGCACAGATTTCAGGCTGAAATAAGATTGCAAAGCACTCGTCTATGAACAGCTTACCAGAAAACTCAGGCTGTTTTTCCTACTGAAATGATAAAAGCTGGGATAGCCTTACAGAGCAGCAAGACCCTGATATTCTGTTGACACTGAGGTGTGATCTGGCCCCAGTAGTCACAGGCTGTACCTGCTGGGTGAGCCTCTCCCGCTCCTTCTCCAGCATGTAGGTGACATCATCTCCCTCTGCTGTGTCCTGGGCATGCCTCTGCCTCTCCTCCTCCAGGTCCAGGATCACCTGCCAAGCAAACACTGGTCACCACAGTGCCCTGCTGTGCTCACAGGCTGAGCAAAACACAGAGACCTGTGCCCACTCTGCAGCCAGCTCGTATGAAAGAGCCACAACTGTGGCCTCAGGCAACTGAGCACAACTCAAAATACAAACAAGCAGCTTTTGGATAAGTCACACTCTGTCATTATTTCATAGCTGGGCCAGAAAGAAGCAAGAAAAAAATCCCACACTTTGCAAATCCTCACTTTATTCTCTAAGAGCCACGCTGCACTGCGTGCTCCTCCTCACCACTGCACAGCAGCCCAGAGGCTCCTGTTATCTGTCACTGCTGGCTGTACTGTGCCCTCATCAGCACCTCCTGTCTGCACCTCCAACAAAGCCAGCAGGAGCAGAGCACACGGCACGGCAGGCTGCAATTTGCACACAGATTGCCCCATTTGAGGACTGCAGAGCGAAGTTTATTTTAAAGAACATTCATTTGTTCTTCCACTTCAGAACAAGATGAGCTCTTGAAATGAAACTGCTTGCCATAAGGACCCGGTTAAGGAGCTCCTTCAGTTTTTATGTTGAATTAGATGAACAACTGAAATTCTATTAACTCAACAAGAAGAAAGCCAAATGTGGTGGAGTCTCTTGGGTGAGTTTGCATCAGCCTCCAGACCTCCAGGCTTTCCAAAAACAGTCACCAGGAATTTACAGCAGCTTCTCAGTCTTCCTGCAATTTAGGCTTCCAAACAATGCTTGCATATCTTTCAAGTACACAGGGAACCTTTTTATTAGAGGAAAAGGGGGGGGTGGGGAGAGGAAAATCTGATTTTCCTGTGAATATTTAGCTGGATTCTTGTCTGAAAGGTGACACACATCATGCTTTCCATGACTCCCAGCACCAATGGGCAGCTGAGAGCTCCAGCTACCAGTGCTCAGCACAGCAATGGGAAGCCCAGCTGGCTGCTCACATCACTGTGAAGTTTCTGCATCAGGAACGCTTCATGCTCCTCACAGACTGAAAGAACCTCGCTCTGTCTTATCCCCATCAAAACAGATGCAGTGGCTAAAAATATACTTGAATTTGGCGCTGTAAAGCTAGCTGCTAGGTGCCACTCTGATGCAAGCAAAGGCAAAATCCCAGCTACTTTTCAGTATGTGAAGCACTGGAACAAGTTTGCTCAAGCTGGTTGTGGATGCTCCATCCCTGCAGGCATTCAAGGCCAGGCTGGATGTGGCTCTGGGCAGCCTGGGCTGCTGGTTGGTGACCTGCACAGAGCAGGGAGTTGGAACTGGATGAGCATCGTGGTTCCTTTTCAACCCAGGTCATTCTAGGATTCTGTGTGAAGAGGTTGAAACACAGTGCTGCAATGCAGGTCCTAGAGATGAACCTGAGGGCTCTTCCCAGGTGCAGATTCCAGTGACACACTCCTGGGTATTTCCTCTCAGCCCTGACCAGGCAGCAGAACCAAATATTTGATCATTTGGCTTGTTCAGATTTACTGCAGCACAAGAGGAACCCCATGTAAACACAGATGTATGTTTGTTTTTTTTAAGAGCTAAAAGAGAAGACATTATAGTGGGGCTTTGAGTTCTGTACACTGTGGCTTCATCCTCCTCTAATAAACTAAGGCGTGCCAGATGGGCAAACCTATGGAAAGAGGCCTGATACAAAATCACTGATGGCACCACATTCAAGGTACACTTCATGTACAAGTGAGTTATTAAAGAGACCAAACAGCATGAAAAGCAGCTTTGGCCATGTCACACTGTGTTAGGAAAGCCCATCCTATAGGAGGTACTCTCCCATCAGTACGTGGTACCAATCCTTGATGATCATGGAGAACAGTGATGTGTCTGCTGAGAATTCAACCAGAATTCTCTTTCATTTGGTGCTACATCTCTTGGTTCTGGGCAAGCTAATTCCTTCTGCATGTCCTGTAATAGAAATCTCTTGAATACATTTCAAATGTTATCATTACAGTTGCTGAGCCTCCCAGTTGCATCACACAGAGTGGCAAAAAGCTCACATGAAGGTGCACAGTCCTTTCAGTCACCAAAATCCAAGGCATTTCAGTGTTTTTATTGAAACCAACGCATTTTCAAAATGCAACTACTAAACTCTGCATAGCTTATTTGAAGTAAAACATACCTTTCTGTGCCTGCTTTCTGCAGCAGCTAGTTGGGATAACATTCTTTCCTGCATATTCTTGCAATGTTTCATCACCACCTTCAGGATGGATAAGGGATTGGTGCATACTGGCTGCTTTTCACCATGATTCGCCTCCTTCAGAGCCTCAAAATCTCTCTGCAAAGCCATTAAAGGATCACTGATGTTGTACTTTCCATAGCGTTCTTCAATGAAGGTGTCTCTGTGCTGGGCCTGCCATATCAAAACAAATTTGCATTTCAATATACTTATAATACAACCCTTGCTAAACAAAAAAAGGGAATTGTTGACAGCTCAGATCCCCCTTCCCTGATTTTCCACTTAAAGGTAAAGAAATCCCAGCAGTCTGACACACGATATCCCATTTATCTGCTGTGTGTCACGTTAAAGGCACTGAGCTCACAGATGAGAACAAGGCAGTAATTCATATGGCAGAAGGCAGTCAGAAGGCAGAGTTCAGACCTCCTGAACAGCAGTGCAGCCCACGTCCATCCGTAGATGGGCCCTGGATGGACATGGCCAGGCTGGATGTGGCTCTGGGCAGCCTGGGCTGCTGGTTGGTGACCCTGCACGTAGCAGGGGGTTGAAACTGGATGATCTTTGAGGTCCTTTTCAACCCAGGCCATTGTATGATTCTGTGACATTGCTGATGAGGGCACTTTGAACACAGAACAACGTCAGCATCGCTGTGCACTTCCTCAGCAGGAACACGAAGGACAAACCATTACCAAGCATCACTCATTTCTAACAGTTTTGCTTAAGGACATCTTTTAGGTAGGAGAGCCCCAGTCTGACTGACAAATGCTTCCTTCTCTGCTCTCTTTTCGTTGGAACGGGTGCTTTCTGACATCTCAATAAACAGCACTGAGAAATAAAATGCTTCCCTCAAGCATACAGCAGTGAGTGGTGCTCCAGACGCCGCAGCTGGAGCAGAAAAGCAAACTGATGTAACAGAATTGTATAGCTCAGAGGACCAACGTGATGCACATTCAATCCTTACTCAAATACCAACAGAGACTTCTCAGTCCTGTTTATACTCCAAGATGCAGCCACGTGATTAGCATGGGAAAAAAACAGCAATCAAAGGCAACCATTGCTCTCTCTAAGGGAAAAACGTATGGGTTGCCTTGGAAAAAGGAACAACAAAAGCACTTCTCTCTCCACGTCTCCTCCACAATCAAACCCACTCGGAGACATCTGTCCCATTTGGAGCTGAATTCTAACCCTTGCAGCAAACAAACATGCTCCCAAGCACTGCTCATCTCTTCCTGGGAAAGGTGGGTGTGACGGTTCTGCGTGTGTTTGATCAGAGCTTAAGATATCGTTCCAAATTTACATTTGGGAAAAAAAAAAAAAAGAGGAAGGAAAGGCTTAGCCCTGGAAATGGGAGGGCAGCCCTGGATAATGAGCCACCCATGGGTTAGTGAATCACAGGAAAAAACACAGCCTTTTTTTTTTATTTTTTTTTTTGGTGCTGGGGTGGAGAACTTCAGCTATTCTGAAGGACTCATAAAAATGACTCAAGCAAACCTCTCTCCAAGAGTCCAGGGGATGTGTAAGTGACTCAGGCATGGCGTGCCTGCAGCTGGCAGAGGAGCTGCCCACCAGGTGAGCCCCTGGGGACACCCCAAGCAGTGCTGTGCCTCTGGCTGGGCAGCAGGGCAGCCCTCAAGTTTGCTTCTGGTCCTTTTTCCCAATCAAAGCTGAAGGAGCTGGGATTTACCACCAGTGAGGTTCACACCTGCTGCACGCAGCCTCTGGTTCTCATGCGTTCAGTGCTTGCAGAAATAGCTGCACTCTCACCCAGCTCCTGGTCAGCATTGGGATCTGAGCTCTGCTGCAGGTCAGGCAGTTTATTTCCTGCTGGGAAAGAACAAGAAGTTCCTCCTTGCTGCTTTGAGCAACTCAGTACTTTCCTGAAGGAGCCCGACAGCCAGATGAGCTGCCACAGCACTGATGGCATTGTGAAGTCCAGCAGAGCACCAACACGAATTAAAGCTGTCCAAAATGCAAAAAATACCTTGTAACCAGCTCACCCCACACCAACTGCTGCTGGTTTACGGTGCTGCTTTGATATCTGGGCCACCACACACCTGAAAATGCAGATCTGCAGGTGAAACTCAGTACTGCAGGGCCACCTGGCCATCACAGGATGATGGGGACAGTCCCAGGAATGCCACCCTGTGGCCACCCCAGGGGTGATTCTGCACAACTTTGGGGCTGTCCCTTCCCCCAGTGCCCTCCCATCACACCAGGGTTGCATGCAAACAGCTCCAGCAGCCTTCGCTCCGTCTGAACTGGAATTCAGTCTTAAATGCACTTTTTGTTCAACTTTCCAAACAGCAGCAGCTCAACGATGGGAGAGAAATACTCCACAAATGAGCTCAGCGTGGAAAAAATCAGCTTAGATCCCACTGACTGTAACAGAAACCCACTGGAAATGAAGCTTCAAAGCAAAGAAATCATTTCACAAAAAGCACTGCTAACCCAGGAATACAAGATTCAATCTGGAAAAGCAGAGATGACATTCTATATACATCCCACAACATCAGCTGCTCTTACAGGGAAGGTGCAATCTCCTGCAATTAGACCTCTGTATCACCTCAAATATCTGTGCTTCTGCTGCCAATACATCCAGAGCTGACAGAGCTGGAGGGATGATTCCTCTGCAGATGAGCAAAGCAAAGCCAAGCTGTTCAACAACAGGCTGTTTTCTCCTGGGATTTCTGCGCTGCTTATAGGGGCTGAATTTTTCCCATCTTTTTTTTTTTTTTTCCCATTTAATAAAAGATTTCCTTTTACCAAAGCCTTGTTTATGAGACAGCATTTTCTCTGCCTTCAGTAATTTTTACAACTCATTTTACTGGAACACCAAGAGGGGAATTTCCAAGTGTTTTTCTGGACACGACGTGGTCTGTGATGCCGGAGCGTGGGATTTAACTCAGGGCACGACACAAACATGTGTTAATTAACCACACTTACTGCATAGGCAGTGCAAACACGCACAGGAGTTCCTCCTTCATGCTGCAGAGTGGCATAATCTGTAAATAGCTTCTCCCTGCCTCCAACTTCCTTATTAGCTTTGTTCCATGGAGCCTGGAAGTCGAGCAGGGCTGGGGGCCCAGCGGAGCTCACCGTGCTGATGGAGAAGGGATCTCACTCACACTAAGTGCTCTGAACCACCACCATCGTGCTGCAAACCAACAGGAGCACATGCCCACGTGAGGGCTGTTATCAGCTCTGAGCAATGTAAGAAATGTTCTCGACAAACACCACGGAGTGGCACAGAGCCGCAGCTCCCCATCTCAGTGCCAGCCCCCGAGGCTGGAAGAACAGCAGTCAGAAAAGCTGGCGTTGCAGATCATGCAGAAACCTGAAAAACTTAATATGAGCCAGCAGTGTGCCCTTGTGGCTCGGAAGGCAAATGGGATCCTGGGCTCCATCAGAAGAGGGGTGGCCAGCAGGGACAGGGAGGTGATTATCCCCCTCTATTCTGCTCTTGTAAGGCCCCATCTGCAGCACTGCGTCCAGGTCTGGAGCCCCCAGTACAAGAAAGACACAGAGCTGTTGGAGAGGGTCCAGAGGAGCCACAAAGATGATCAGGGGGCTGCAGCACCTCCCCTATGAGGACAGGCTGAGGGAGCTGGGCTCGTTCAGCTGGAGAAAAGAAGGCTGTGGGGTGACCTCATTGCAGCCTTCAGTACCTAAAGGGAGCCTACAAACAGGAGGGGAATCAACTCTTTGAAAGGGCAGATAACAGCAGGACAAGGGGAAATGGTTTTAAGCTGAGGGAAGGGAGATTTGGGTTGGACATCAGGGGGAAATTCTTTACAGAGAGAGTGGTGAGGTGCTGGAACAGCTGCCCAGAGAGGCTGTGGATGCCCCGTCCATCCCTGGAGGTGTTCAAGGCCAGGTTGGATGGGGCCCTGGGCAGCCTGGTCTGGCATTAGGTGGGATGGTTGGTGGCCCTGCGTGTGGCAGGGGGTTGGAGCTTCATCATCCTTGAGGTCCCTTCCAACCCTGGCCATTCTGTGATTCTGCTGGATCTCAGCTGCTCTATCAGCCACATGGGGAGCCCACTCTGCCCCATCTGCGAGAGATTAACAGCACCTGTAGTGGGTTTTTTTTTTTTAAATTGCTGAACTTTTTCCTGTTGAAACAATGAGGTAGGTGCTTTTGTTTGTGAAGTGCCACCGACAAATGGACATTTAATTGTGCAGTGCATTAATATTGCCAATTACCCGGGTTGGAAGGGAAGCAAGGAACTCCAGCTCACGGTCCTCAGCACAAAACAGTTTCTGCTCCAATGCATATTGCCTCCGACCTTACCACAAAGGAATCTGCCAGAAAGCTGCTTCCTGTTCTCCAAAAATAAACAGAACTTCATTTCCAGCGTGCAGAGAACTCTCATTTGAGGAGCAGGGAACTGAATTACCCACACAGACAGGGAAATACCAAATGGCTCTCAGCAAACCCACCAGCAGTTTGTGCATGCAGAGTGAAAGCCCTGCCCGCAGCATTGTGCAACCCGACAGCATCTGGGCTTTTTGGATGATTTAAATATGATTACAGAGACGGGAAAGGAGATTTAAGGGCTGCTCTGCAGAGAACACTGAGATTCATGCAGTGGACAGGAAACGATTTTTGGTTAAACAGAGAAGACAGCCAGGGCAGGTTGGAATAGGGAGAGGCATTAATTAGAGCTGACCTAACAATTGCTCTTTATAATTTGAATCCAAGCACCTGAGCAGTGCCTCCATCCCCCCCTAAACCTCCCCAGATGAGCCTTGGAGCTGTGCAGGCAGGACTGAGGTGTGGGGGAGCAAAGTGCCAGGCAGGGGGACCTCATGGAAGGGGAAAGCTATTTTGGGATCTGTCATCTGTGTGCATGGATCCTCTGCTAAATGCCAGATGGTGAATGCTTTCCTTTAAGCACACAGGATATCAATTAGTGCAGGCTGTGCTATAATCAAATTACAAGTTGACAAATTAGGGCACTTTTTCCTTTGCAAGCTCTTGCTCTTTCCTCCAAGGTAACATAGGGTCTGCCTCAAGAACCCAAAGGGGTCAGAAGTATTTAAACTTGAATTGGAGGTCAAACCAGCCCAGGGAGAGCTTGGTGTTTGGTGCTGTGCAACCACCAGCTTCCAGCTTTCATTTAATTGCTCCTCAGTTACGAGTCCCAGGCAATCTGTGCCAAAAGGTATTTGAACCGTGTTAAACTCCTCCTGCAGGAGAGAACTGCAGGTTAAATTTCAACAGGAAGATGTGCATGGAATGCCTATGGAATGGAGCAACATTCCTTGCAGTGGTCCTCACTGCTCCCCTGTGTGCACTGCACGTGGTTTGGGAGGGTAGCAGTGTTGCTCCTACATGACAAGGCTACCATCAGCAAAATAAAATGGCAATAAGAGTGTGAGTATCCCAGCTGCTTTAAAGGGGCAGAGCTGCACCTGACAGCACCTCAACCACTCCTATTGGTGTGCCATAATTACAGAGCCCTGTCCCCTGAGTAGTTTCCCTCTTTGAGAAAGCAGTAAGGAAGTTGAAGTAAAGCCAGGTTAGAGCAAAGTGCAGCCCTGTGATGCTGCTCCCTGAAATGGGAGGCACAGAACCACGCTGGAGGATGGGTTCTCTTCATGGCACCGTGCTACCTTCAGACATCAGTACCTAAGTTCACCAAATACAATGACTGTGAGAACAATTCAAAAGGCCAGAAATGCCATAGAATGACCCCTCTGCTGTGTGCAGGGTCAGCAACCAGCAGACCAGGCTGCCCAGAGCCACATCCAGCCTTGAATGCCTCCAGGGATGGGGCATCCACAGCCTCCTTGGGCAACCTGTTCCAGTGAACCATGCAGCCTGCACCCCGTGCACGCTCACCCCAAGGTTTCCAATCCACACAAGTCTCACCAAGCACAGATAAAAACTCAGGCTGCCAAAGGCAGTATTTTGTTCATTCCTTCCTAAGGAGCGGGGGCAAATCGCCAAGAAACACCTAATAAAGACACAAGGGCACGACAACAGCACGAAGCTGAGCATTACAAGAGCCTTCAAAGCAACACAGCACATCCAGCACCAAGTGGAAGCTGCTCAGCAAGAACTGAAACTGTCAGCATTATGTTCAGTATGGGAAAACAAACAGCAGATTTGAAACCACACGCTGGTACTGCCTGCATCTCGTGCGGACAGACTCGTGACAATCCATATCCTCCTTCTGGATGGTGAATGTTTTAATTTTAACGAGCAAACCAGAAAGATTAACTGCTATTTGTGTTAGCTAGATGTGGCCTAACCACAACAAGTGCTTGTGCAGTTTAGAGAAGGATTTGCACATAGCCAGCTACAGGCATTACTGAGCAATGCGCGTCTGACTGCTGACAGATCAAACCTGCAGAACATCTTAATTCTTATTGGGGACAACGTGTGACAGGACAGGAATAATGGCCCCTCTGACAGCCCTGTGTGAGTGCACACCCAGCAGAGCTGCACAGCCATGCCGGGAGGAGCCCGTTCCCACCTGAGCTCATTGCTGTACTCGAATAATTACAGCTGTCAGAGCATAAACAGATGCAATCGTTGGTTGGCAGCACCAAATCACGGATGAAAATCAGGTTTGTCAGCACTCAGCATCCCCCGGATATCTGTGGCAATCATGGAGAATGCATGACAGCCACTCCTGCCTTACACTGCATCACGACACAGCCGGAGAGATCTCTGCTTTTCGATCCACAAAGGGGAAAACAAGCAACAAAATGGTTTCCAGCCAAAGGGGAATTTTTCAGTTCCTCAGGCTGAGTGCCAGCAAAGCACCCTGAAGCAGGGGGGGGTCAGAGAGGAGTCAGGGGGGACACACAGCACAGCCTCTGCCAGCAGCACCTGCTCACATCAGCTTAGCATAATGCAAAGCCATGGGGGCTTTATGCTTCGTGGGATGTTATCCTCAGCAAAGAACTCATCTGTGATCCCTTGTGGAGGGATGTTCTGCTTTAGGATTCCTTCCCTACTAAGTCAGAACACAACCAGCAGAGGAAGTCTAGCAGACCTTCTTCTTTTCTCAGGACAGCAGAACTCTTTATCAGAACTGACGAAAGCACACGTGCAGCACTGCAGTTAAACACTGAAACGCCTCCTGCAGCAAGCTTACAACAGATTTGGAGACACAGAGCAATATACAACATTTATTATCTAATACTGTTGGTACTAAGATAGGATAACAGTAGCACTGTTGACATTTGTCCCTTATCAGAGTACTTACAACATACCTTTAAGGCTTCGATGACAAGATCCCTTGCTTCTAACTCTCCCTCCAAAATGCTAAACAGCGTCAGTAGTTCTGGTTTGCTGAGTTTTTCCAGATTCATCCTGAAAACCTGAAAAACAGAAGGCAAAATACCCATTTCAATACCCACAGAAACACCTCGCACACGAAGTTGCAACCCATCATCTCTATTGAACTTCAGCTCCCAGTTTTCCAGCCTGCAGCTTCCCTGTGGGAAAGCACAGCACACACAACACAAATGCTCTGCCCTCCTCGGCTCCAAAGACCAGTTGCAGAAGATTCATTTTTCACCTCTTCCCAAAGGGTCACGAACATATGCACACCCAGATGGTGCAGGCAGAGCCTAAGGGCCAATGCAACAGCACAACCTTCACCAGGAGCTACTTAATGGGAGAGCAGGGATATTTAGAAGCAGTGCTACTGTGGGTTGCACATCTGGATCCCACAGCTGCAAACAGCACTGAGGCTGAAGGCAGTGATGAATGCAGCCCAACTTGGTCCACATCCACAAAGCCAATGGTCAGGTTAACGTTGCAGTACATGTCGGAGGAATGCCATTATGCACTGCTAATGGAACAGGCCCAAAGGAAAAAAAATAAAACAAAATAAAAATCAATGCCACAGAAAGCATGCATTTAATTACTGTTCCTTCAATACTGCCATCATTTATTGAATATAACTTCAGTGCTCATGCAAGAATGAGGATCTGACACCTGAACTCCATGCACAGAAAGCTGGTTTTGACCTATTCTATATCTCTGCCAATACACTTACACTGGCCCCTACTACACCTCTATGTTATATTACTTTATTAGCAAACAACAACACTCATTTCTCCTACTAAACCCTCATCCCTGATGGAAATACTCCTCGTGCTGACAGCCTCATGCTCTGCAGGTGGGTCAGAAAACACCGTGGGCCAAAGGAGCCACTCAGACCTCCAACCCCACAGCAGAGGTCAGTGGGAGGGTTTAACCCTCACAATCCCAGCAGCCGCACCATTCAGCTGAACTCTGATTTTTCTGGAGCCTTTGCTACTTCACAAGCCATTTGCATAGCGGTGCCTCTGGAGAATCATGCACAAATACAAGTTCTGTCTTGTTTACGGCACAGCAGTTTTCCAGTTTGCTGGGAACAGAAAGTTCTGCTTGCAGAGGAGTAAGCAGCCTTCACACAGCAGGAGAAATCACAGGTTTGCTTTGTGCCAGCTCTGCTTATCAGGCAGATCTCTCACCATTCAGTCGCCCCGTGCTTTGGGCAGCAGCTGCACAGAAGGGCAACGTTCCTACAGCCCCTACAGGGCCGGCCATCACTGCTGCTGCTCTGAGCCCAGCACCACGGGGCTGTGAGCACCACAGCCAACACGGGTCCCAGCAAAACAGAGCTGCACTCTGCCCCCAAAGCAGTGATGCTGAAGCTCCACCTGCCCTCAGTGGCAGAGGGCAACCAGCAGCTGCAGGCACTGCAGGCACTAATCGCTTCTATATGCTAAATGCCCCGTTGTGACTCACACTTCTGCATTAGAAGAAATAAGCTGTGCTATTCTTGACGTGCCTCCGTGCTTACACTCTTTAATCAGCTTCACAAGAGAAACAAGCCCTGCCCTGAAATACACCCTGTGTGCACTCCCAGAAGCAAAGCACAGCAGCACTCACACGGCAGCAGCCCTGACCAAAGAGATGATAGACACACAGCACTGAGTCCCTGCAGCACCAACCCTGAGCCCACCCTCCCCAGGCCTTTACACAGGCACACATCCCTTCTCTCAGCCCTTAAGAACAAACTGTGGCAGCTCTGTTCCACCACTGCTCTGTGCCGCCTGGACCCATCACCAGAGAGAAGCACCATCATCCCATTTCACATCATGACGAGGTCTGAAAGCCCCGCAGGGCTCACTGCCCCTTACGTTACAGAATCACAGAATGGCCAGGGTTGGAAGGGACCTCAAGGATGATGAAGCTCCAACCCCCTGTCACATGCAGGGCCACCAACCTCCCCATTTCATACCAGCCCAGGCTGCCCAGGGCCCC